CGAATTGATTACATGGGAAGGCAAGAACGGTAAAGCCCTTATCCTTGTACTTGTTGTATAGAGTGGTGGCTGTCTCATATCCACTTTGTGTGTATCCACAGTTGCTGGCCACATTGTAAATAAGAAGCGGGTACCCCTTGTGCTGCAAGAGATCGTAAGGCTTATGGTCAGCCCCCTTCACCTGAAAGTCATAGATGGATGTCATGATGTTTCCTCTGTTGACCAAAAACGCAGGAGATATAGAGAGAGGGATAGATAGAAGGAAAGAAAGAGCACGGGCATTAACCGCATGCGCAGGTCATTGCAGCCGTGCCGCAATAGTCATATACTGCACACACCAACCCCAGTGAGTGTAAGTAAGTCAGTCTTCCTGCTGAAAAAGCAACAGCACGGCATGTGCCACCGCGCACCTGATGTAACGGGTTGTGCCGACAAGGCTCCTCAACTGCACACACGTTTCGTTCATGAAGGTCAAAAAAAAAAGATTTGGTATGCTAAGAACCAACGAAAAAATGTGTAGGCAAAGTCTGAATTAATATGACGACCTGAGCAGGGGAACAAGTTTCTTCTCAATTTCACTTGCGGATGCCCCAGGTGAAAAGCGCTCCACAGGAATGCCATTCTTGTCGATGAGGAATGATGTAAAATTCCATTTAATGGCCTTCGTGCCGAGAACACCAGGCCTAGCCTTCTTCATGAACTCATACAAGGGATGTGCATTGCTGCCATTAACGCTGATCTTCGCCATAATGGGGAATCTGGCCTTGAAGCGCGTGCAGACAAATTCCTTGACCTCAAGCTCCGTCCCTGGCTCCTGCCCGCCGAATTGATTACATGGGAAGGCAAGAACGGTAAAGCCCTTATCCTTGTACTTGTTGTATAGAGTGGTGGCTGTCTCATATCCACTTTTTGTGTAACCACACTTGCTGGCCACATTGTAGATTAGAAGTGGGTGCCCCTTGTGCTGCGAGAGATCATACAACTGGTGGTCAGCGTCCAGCGTCTGGAAGTCGTAGATGCTAGTGGGAGCTGAAACCGCTCCTTCTGAGGTCATATATCCCTCTCTGTCCTACCTGTTAGTGTTCCTTCCGTTTTCCCCTCGATTCCTTTATCACTAGGATTCGCTTATCGAACGGCAACCCAAGTCAACATGTATGAAAGAAAGCGAAAGAGAGAGAGAGAGGGATAGATAGAAGGAAAGAAAGAGCACGGGCATTAACCGCATGCGCAGGTCATTGCAGCCGTGCCGCAATAGTCATATACTNTGAGTGTAAGTAAGTCAGTCTTCCTGCTGAAAAAGCAACAGCACGGCATGTGCCACCGCGCACCTGATGTAACGGGTTGTGCCGACAAGGCTCCTCAACTGCACACACGTATTCGTTCATGAAGGCAAAAAAAAAAAAAGATTTGGCATGCTAAGAAAAAAAAACACAACTGAAAACCGATTCAAGAGGTCGCCTCAAGTAGGGGGATAAGGCACTTCTCAATTTCACTTGCGGATGCCCCAGGTGAAAAGCGCTCCACAGGAATGCCATGCTTGTCGATGAGGAATGCGGTGAAATTCCATTTAATGGCCTTCGTGCCGAGAACACCAGGCCTAGCCTTCTTCATGAACTCATACAAGGGATGTGCCTTGTCGCCGTTCACGTCAATCTTCGCCATAATGGGAAACTCTGCCTTGAAGCGCGTGCAGACAAATTCCTTGACCTCCTGCTCCGTCCCTGGCTCCTGCCCACCGAATTGATTACATGGGAAGGCNAAAGCGCTCCACAGGAATGCCATTCTTGTCGATGAGGAATGATGTAAAATTCCATTTAATGGCCTTCGTGCCGAGAACACCAGGCTTAACCTTTTTCATGAACTCATACAAGGGATGTGCCTTGTCGCCGTTCACGTTGATCTTCGCCATAATGGGGAACTCTGCCTTGAAGCGCGTGCAGACAAATTCCTTGACCTCCTGCTCCGTCCCTGGCTCCTGCCCACCGAATTGATTACATGGGAAGGCAAGAACGGTAAAGCCCTTATCCTTGTACTTGTTGTATAGAGTGGTGGCTGTCTCATATCCGCCCTTCGTGTAGCCACACTTACTGGCCACATTATAAATCAAAAGGGGGTGCCCCTTATGCTGCGAGAGATCGTAGGGCTTTTGGTCAGCCCCGTTCACCTCAAAGTCATAGATAGATGTCATGACACTTTCTCTGTTAACCAAAACAAAGCGGAATAAAAGACTCTTGGGGATGACAGACACAATTGTTGCAGATTCAGTATATAATCTCGTCTGCCTGGATGTTAATGACCGACACCAAACCAGTTCTCATAGGCAGTCAGCAACAAACAATGAGAGCGGAATCTCAAACCAACGATGAGACCCCACACGGCAGTACACTGCGTTGTGCAGAAGTCGTGAGGCGGTAGCGGTGGCAGGAAAGACAGCAGAAGGAGCATTAGCGTCAACACAAGAGAGAGGAAGCAGCAGTGTGGAGAGCGGCACCGACGAGACTTCGCGCAGCAGTTGTTGTACCTGCAGTGTGCCGCCCCAGCACGGCGGTGGACACCTGGCATTATTCGTCCTCAACGTGGTCCCTAACCCAAAAGGGTAAAAGTAGCACGTGACGATGTGACCTCCTGTCAGCATCGCGCCATCCAAAATGCTCGGCATCGCATGGCGGACGTGGCGCACAAACGCCGTGTTTCCCACGCATACCATCACATCGTTGCTGCACTGAAAGCGAACCACCGTCCACGACGACGTGGTGTCGAGGGACGAAAGCGGATTCAGCACCTCGCGCGCCCATTGCGCAACGTCGTCAGCCCGTGTGTAAGGAACAAGCAACTGCGGCCGCCCTTTCCCGCAACGGGGACACACTGAACGGCGCCCTTCCTCAAGGACAGCGTCACTCTCCGCCGCGGCGGTGTGAAGTGCAACTTCTGGTGGGCTCCTACAACTTTGCAGCCGTCCGTTTGTCATGGAAACACTCTTGGCGCTTGCCGCAGCAGCATTCTCCAACTCCACCGGGTTAGATGCCACACAGCACAGGGAGGTGTCGTCATAGTCCAGCGCCCTGGGGACTTGCGCCACTTTCGCTTCAGACAGCGTCAAACTTGCTTCCTCCTCCTGCTCTTGTGGCGCATCAGCCCCACGCAAGAAGCACTGTAGGATGCGACGGCGCCGTGAATGCTCCAACTTAAGCAGCAGCTCGCGAGCTGTAGCCTCGTTGAGGAGAAAGCGGTCAATCTTCGTCACTTCGTGCGCCGGCGTCTCAAGCCGACTCGTGAAGGGTAGCTGCGTTCCTGCGTTCCAAGCGGGACGAACGGTCCCAGAGACCACAGAGGCCTCAACAGGAACGTCACCCTGGTGACTATTCCCATCTTTTTTCACTGGCACAACTGAAATGCCGCCCCCCTTGGAGGCTTCACTTCGTTGTTGTGTGTCCACTCGCACCTTAGTTGCAGTACTGTGCCGCGACTCGTGAAACCGCTCCACCCGCTGAGGAATCGACGCACAGCGTGAGACGCGCCTCAAGTCGAGGTGCTTAAGAAGAACCTTCAGCTTGTCTTTTGCATCAGCGAGATTTGTCTCTTTAAAGCATATGGACGGGCACTCCCTTACAATAAGGTGTGCAAAGTCGCCAAGTGCGAGCCACGACGGTGTGGCAGGGTGCTCCTTTACAACAAGATCATGCTCGCAGCGAACGTGGCAGACCACTGCCGACCCCTCTCTGTGATGAAGCAAAAGCCTTATCAGCACAATCGCCGCAAGGGGAATGCGCCGGCGCACGGAAGTCCTCTTGTCGCAGATGAAGAGTGTGTTGTGTGTCACAACGAGGACGCGCAGCTCCCACACCCTCTTAGAGGTCAGCCGCAGCACTTGGCGGGCCAGCAGCGTCACGTCCGACGTGAACTGCCGTGGGATGGGACCTACCGGCCGCCGATAGTCCGGTGGCTCTTGCTGCTGCTGCTGCTGTGGTGGTGGTGAAGTGCGGCTCAATGATGCAGCATCCCCAGCTGCACTAGCAGCAGCAGCAGCAATATCATCATCCACAAAAACGTCACCCGCAGCAAGATCTTCGCCAATACCAATATCATCGATATCATACTCAATTTCAAAATCATCACCCAGTTCAATATCATCATCAAAGTCAATAATAATATCTTCATCAGCGCCGTCTTCCAAAGAGGCAAATGTGTCGAGGCTGAGGGAGAATGACTCAGCACGCGGTGTNGATTCCATCACGACGGGGATGCTGATTCCATCCCGGCCCAACAGAACAGCAATGGCGTTTGCAATGGTGCGGGCATCGCAGCACTGCGGAGCCGCACTCCCTGCAAAAAGAGAAGCAGAAACGGAGGGGATACAAAGGACACACTCTGTCTGCATAATTGCTGCCTTCTTGTCGTCTCCAACCGTGAATGCACTCCCCTCCACACGGTGAGCCACCGCGGGAGGCAGTTGGTACGTCATATTGCTGTGCATCTCCGCACGTTCCTCGAAGAAGAGTATTATCCTGCTGCCCTTCATAGGGCCAACGTTATCAAGGCAGCTAGTTGTAGCAATACCATCATTGCTGCAGCTCGACTGATCCACTTGAATCTTCGCCAGGCTGTACAGTGACTTGACCAGTAGTCCATCTTGCTCGTGATGTAGTTGTGTTCCGTCACGTCTACTGTTGGAGAGGATTAGGCCGTCACAGGTGAGCAGAAGCCACTCGATCTCAGCCACCGCCTTCTTCTTGGAAGTATCGCCAACCGCCCACTCCTCTTCCTTCTCCTCCTTCGGTTTTTGTTGGCGTGGATGCCTGGTTGCCTCCGCGTGGCTCACTGGCGGCCACTGACGCACTATCCGCGTCGTTGTGGACACAACCCGCACCTCCGTCCCAAGGACGACGTGCTGCTTCAGTACGAGAGACACTAACCACGTAGGGAGTGACAAGGGCAACACTTTCCCCAAAACAACTCGGCATGGGCGCAGCAAAGAAGCAGCATTCCAATCTGAGAGAGTCACTTCCTCTTCCACATCAACAGTCATTGCCTCAGAAGCATCTTTCCACGCCTCTGCCCACGCCAAGAGGCAGTTGCAACGGTTTCCATCATGCTCCTCGCTAGTGCAATCTACAGCTACGGCGTCGCTGCACATTGATGCGTATCGCCGCAGTGCGAGGCGTAAACGCACATTTGTGTATCCCTCAGAGAGCGGGAATAATTCCGCAATGTACTGCTTCGACAGCTGGGGCCAAGAGGGAAGCGGCATGGTGTCGATGCTGCGCAACACAAGTGGGAAAGGAGAAAAGGCTGTACGCAGTTCAACGATGCGGTTCGCGACCTCCAGGATGCTCGCACCACCTCTGTCATCGCTGCTGGAGGCAGTTGCTGTCGTCGATGACATGTCTCTCAACAGCACAACGTCGTGCTCACGCTTCACTTCAACATGCAGCACCGTACCGCAGGCATACGTGGTGAGTGCATCCACGCCACAGAGAGGAATGAAGCGCTTTAGAACACCACCCAACAGCGCCGCGGTGGCATGGCTCTTTGCGCCTTCCGCCCCGACGGACTGTTGTTGCTGCTGACGTGTAGGTGCTATCGATAAAAAAAAGAGACCTGCCATACTAATCAGCAGTTGACGTGACTTCGTTGCCCTTGCTTCGTCAAGCCTCAGCACATTCACCACCATGTCCAGAGAGGTGCTGCTCAGGCACGGCTGCGGAGACACACGGTGGTCGGCGTTCATCGCGCCGCAAGTCGTCCTCGCGCCGGTGTCCCTCGCCCCACCCCTCACGAAGACTGCGCAAAAAGAACGGAGAAGCAAACGAGCAAAGCCAGTGGGGAAGCCTCAGGCAAAGAAAGGGTCATTGCATTGTATATATATACGTATATATATAGTATGCGGGTATGTGGAGGTTATTTCTGCAGCGTGACAAACCGTTTCCAAGGAAGTCCTTCTTGGGCCGCACAAAATGTATGACATACAACAAGAGAGTACACAATAACAAGAAATTATAATACGAATGGGATCTTAGTATATATATATATATATAATATGCGGGTATGTGGAAGTTATTTCTGCAGCGTAAAAAACTGTTTCCAAGGAACTCCGTAGGCCGCGCAATTTGCATCACATACAACAAGAGAGTGCAACAGCAAGAATTTGTCACACGAATTATATANAATTTAAAAACAAAGCTCCCACGCTCAGCATTAGGGTACGAGCAAACAAAAAGAGGGAAGGCTTCAGTCTGACAGTCTGGGTGGCACAACCTACGGCACACAGCCCAGAGTCAGAAGGAAACAAGAACGCAGAAAAATATGAAAAGAAAAAAACAGATATGAAAAACACCCTCTCACAGCACACGGTAATCACGATGTACCTCCTTTGGCCACACACTGCACTGCACCTCCCCGATATGTTTCTTCTTCAACAGGAACATGACGAGACGGCTTTCACCGATCCCACCACCGATGGTCTGTGGAAATTCGCCCGCCAGGAGCCGCTTATGCCACACGTACTGCAGCCGGTCCTCGTTACCAAGTAATGCGAGTTGGCGGCGCAGTGTCTCCGAGTCCACACGGATCCCCATACTGCTGAGCTCCAGCACATCGTCTAGCACAGGGTTGTACACTAGTATATCGCCGTTCAGACCCTCCAAAGAGGCAAGTGCGTTCATCGTCGGGTGTGCCATGAAGGATCCTGTCGCCTCAGCCTGCAGCGGTGTCGACCAGTCGTCATAGTCGGGCGCGCGCATATCGTGACGGTCGCCACTGCTCAACTTACCACCAATGCCGATGAGGAAGACTGCGCCGTGCCTCTTCACGATGGAGCGTTCACGATCCTTAGGATCCATGTTTGGGTACATGGATAGCAGCTGCTCGCTGTGCAGGAAGGTGATCTCCTCTGGGAGGACGGCCTCCAGCTTGTACCTGCTGCAGATTGTAGCCTCCGCCTGCCGCATAGCGGTGTAGACGCGGCGCACGGTGTCCTGCAGGAACGCCAAGTTGCGCTGGGCCGGTGGCATCACCATCTCCCAATCCCACTGGTCGACAAAGACGGAGTGGACGTTGTCAAGCGTGTCCTCCACACGTAAAGCCTTCATGTGGACGAAGATGCCCTGGCCAACAGGGAACTTGTGGTCGCCGAGCGTTTGACGCTTCCACTTGGCGAGGGAGTGCACCACCTCGAAGTTCGATTCCGGAATTTCCTTCACGCGCACCTGCACCGCCTTCTCAAAGCCCGACAGATTGTCCTGTGTGCCATCGCCAATGCGAGAGAGAATCGGCGCCTGCGTCTCGACCAGATTTAGTGCCTTCGCCAGGGCATCACTGAATACCTGTTTTGCAGCCGAAATCTGTTCTTGCAGAAGGATGAACGCTGCGGGATCTTCCAGTGTCATTATATCGGTCAAGTCAAAATGTTGTTTGGTTCTTCTTTCGTGGTGTATTGGCCCAATTTGCTTCTTCAAGTGTGTCTCTTTCGCTTCTACGCCGTGTGCTTTTCTCTCTTCCCCACCACCACACCCATCGCAAGAAGAAAAAAAGAAGAAGACACGCACCACCGTGATGCATACACACGCACACATATGCACTCAACCAGTGCCTTACAAACAGAAAAACCATGCATACAACAAGGAGGAGTGGAGTCACTTCTCCCGCATATTTTTTTTTTATTTCTTTTTGTTGTTGTTGTTGGTATTATTCTTGTTGTCACTCATGATTTACAAGGGCACACTCTCACACATACACTGTGACGCTCCATCCGTGTCGCTACAGGGCGTCAGGGGCAGCTCCGCCACGCACCGATGTCCGCTCGATTTCATTGGCGGTGTTGATCACCTGCTGCGCGAAGCGGAGGGCCTCGCTCAGAGGCGCCAGGTTCTCCTCTATGCTGCAGCCAGGGCGCAGCTTCCAGTGAACCGTGCTGCCGCGCGAGCGGAAGAACGTCAGTCGTGATGCGGGCGTCAACGCCTGCGACTTTGTCGCGTGAGGCAGCGGGGGGCCGCGGCCGCGGCTGCGTGGCTTATCCCGCATCGACTGCTGGAACGAGTTCCGATCGACGAGCCCCTGCGCGAGTCGCTCCTTCAGCGCCCGCGCCGCCGCAAAGTTCTCGATCCACAGCGACGATGTGCTGTCAACGGTGAGGTCCGTCCCGCGCGGCTTTACACGCGAGGTGTGCTCAACGATGATGCTCTCCACGTTGAAGTCCTCCGACTCCGCATCCACCTCGCATACGTGCGAGAGATCCATGCTCTCGTAGCCGACAGTGGAGCCGTAGTGAATCAAGTTGTGCTCCGCCAGTGACAGCTTGTCGAGAATCGCCTCCGCAATGGGAGCGGCGGGGTGCTCCGTGTGCTGCTTCCAGCGGCGATACGCGTGCAGCTCGAGCTCGAACGGGAATGCCACCGTCTTCTTGCGCATCACTCGGTTGCCAGCGGCATCGACGCCGCCACCGCTACTGCCGCTGTCAGCGCCTGTCTCATCCACAGAGAAGACTGTCCACGTGAAGGTCACGCCAGAGTTCTCCATGTCGAGCAGGACGAAGCGGTTCTCATGCGCGTCCCACATCGCACGCGCGACGGAGCGACTCTGCCGCTCGTTTGAGAAGAAGCAAATTTTCACCAGCGAGAAGGTTGCCTCAGACTGAAGGGCACCGCACTCTCTGTCCACCGCGCGTGAGACACACGTCGGCGCATCCTTAAGGAAGTACAGCTGCATCGACTCCTCATTCATGCGCTGCACGAACTCGCTAAAGGTGGCGTACTTGAGCGGCGTGCTGTACGATCCCTCCCGTGCAAGACAGCAATAAGCAGCGCCGAGATTCAGGCAAATAGAGACGTGCTGCATACGAATGTCCTCTAGCCCAAGGAGGAATTGGAACTCGCTGAAGAAGTACTTCTGAAGGGTGTCGAAGCGTGTTGCGGTGAGCACAGGGCTGTTTGCCACAGAAGATGGCTGTCCAATGTTGGTTGCATTAGAATCACGCATCTCCACCGTGAGTGGTAGGAGACCGTCCTCGGTCGCGTATCCGTCAACATCCTCGTGGATAGGCGGCGCCATCCCTGATACAGCATCCAAAGCCTCCTGTAGGTTGTCCTTCATCTCCCCTTGGTGATCCTCGTGCTGATCCTGTTCCTGCTCATGTTGGGGAATCGCCTTGTCACCACCCTCTGCCAGGGCGCGACTGTAGTCCTCGTGAATCTCCGCGTCGCTGTCACTGTCGCTGTGCTTTGCATCGTCTCCCTCTTCATCGTTCGCTGGTCGTGGCACACGCGGCCTTCCCACGCTGATATTCACCAGGCGGATGAGTTTATTCTGCAGTTTAAATGGCTTAAGTCCCTTGTGGCCAAACAGCTTGAGCGTGATGGGACGGGCTGGATTCTGCAGCTCACCAACAATGATGCAGTAGCGACGCCGCTTTTCACCACGGAAGAGCAGCTGGCGAACAGTGTCCGCCTCGTGATCTGTCTCGCAGACGCCGAAGTTCTCGCGTATGTTCAGCGGAATGTCGCGCTTCTGGCCGCCGTACTCCGCGGCGAGGTCCTCCTCCGGTGCACGCTGCGGGGGCAGTGCCGCTGCAGGAAGCACTGCCGTTGTAACCGTCGTGATCACCGATGCGCAATCGTTCACATTGTTGTTGTTGCTGATGGTGCCTGTGGTGGACGGCTGGTCAGCGCGCAGCGGCTGGTTGAACGTCCCCCGGCCGCGCCGGCGCACAACAGGAGGCGCAGGTGCCGTCTCTGTTGTTTCTGCAGGCGTTGCCTGCTGCTCCGTCGTGGCCTCCATTCCGCCGGCTGCACACACGCCCTTATTAGTGTTGTTGCTGCTTCTGGTGCTGCCCTATCCCGTTGATGGTGAGGGGTGCTGACTCAGAGCAAGCAATAAAGAAAAAAAATCTTTCTCTGCCTCCCTTTGGCGTATTATTGTTTTTTTTTTCCCTTCACTGAAGTAAGTGCCAACAGATGAGGACATAAGGCATATCAAATGGCCCAGCGTGTGACAAGTGGGCGCACGCCCCCACATACACATGTAGTCACGCGCACATCACCAATTATCTTCTCCGAACAAAGGAGCATTGTTGATAAACAGACACAGAAAGGGGTGAAGCACCTGATAAATCAATAAAAGAGCAATATTCGGCCCGACGTTAATCACTGATAGACACACATATACGCACTCTCTCTTTTTCCCCTGACATTTCGGGTTTGGTTTGTTAATGCTCACCGAGTTTTCACTGCCCGTTTCTCTCCCCCCAACTGGGACACTCGGTGATTTGCACTCCCGCGATATAGGCATCACGCCGCTGAATGAGAAGAGTGAGAAAAGTATTCCGTTCATAGTCATCCTTTTTGTTTTTGTTTTACTTTATTCTTCTCGTACCATTGACTTTGGTTTTAACCTCCCTATGTCACTATTCAAGTTAACAGTAATGGCAGTAGCAGAAACGAACAGAACTCACGAAGACGGCCGGATGCGGAAGCCACCAAAGACAGGGGTTGCACTCACAACAGATGCCCGTGACTCTGAGCGGCGATTCATTGACGCATCCGGAAAGTGGTCAGCGTATGTGTCCCCTCCATCCCCGCATTGTGCGACACCTCCCAATGAACGACCATACGCATATCCAGAAGGTGCAAGCAGCTGCCCTGGTTGTTGCTGCTGTGCCGGGTATGCGCCGTTGTTGCCCGAGTACAAGTATTGGGTAGCAGCGGATTGCGGAGGTACCGCTGTTGACGACGGTTGCCAACCACCCGAAGTGGTGTCTGGTCCGAAATACCCCTGTTGTTGTTGTTGTTGATGCTGATGCTGCTGAGAGTAGCCGACGTGGCCGCCTCTCGGCACTTCTGCCCTTGGGTGGCCAAATCGGGTGAACGTTGGCGCGGACGCTGCATTCGCCGGGAGATAGTGTGCGTGGTAAGCCCCAGCAGCGTGTGCCCTCTCCGCAGCAGCTGCAGCTGATGCCGTCGCTCGCTCTTCTTGTGGGAGCAGACTGAGGCGCAGCTTCTCCAGCTCTCCAATGCAGGTGTGGCAGATGCTCTGTTGCGTCAGCGGGTTCGTAAGAACGCGATCAAGCGTCGCACCGAGGGACTCCTGTTGTCCAAACCGCACAGGATTCGTCACAAGCGCATCTGGGCTCGTCGCACCGGCGTCTGACGTCATGGCCTGCTGGTAGGCCAGCTCGTTGAAGCCGCGCGAGAGGGCAACAGTGAGCTCGCCCACCTGCCGCAGGAGCTCCTGGTTCTGCTCGCGGAGGAAAACGAGGGTACGCTCTGCCTCTTCCTCCTTATTCACCACGCGCGTGCTGCTCTGCAGCTCACGCAGCGCCAGATCCTTTTCGTACACTTTGATGTTCGCCTCCTTTAGCGCCGCATCCATGGCGTTGTACTCCTGCTGCATCTTCACCATCTGCGTCGTGAGGGCCTTGTTGGTGCGTGCCAAGGCCTCATAGGAGCGTTGAAACTCCAGCGCCATCGCCTGCGAGGTGCCAGACGACACCATGAGTTGTTCCAGGCGTTGGGTTTCGTTCATGAGGCGCTCCAGTGGGTCCCGGTACGCCTCGGTTTGCGCAAGCTCCTGCCCCTTCTCGCTGCACGGAACAAGTGCGTGGTCGTTCTTGTCCTTGTTTTTGCTCTTCCTGGGGTGTTCAGCGGAGGTGTGGGCGGCCTTCTTCGCATGCGCATCTTTCTTGGCAGGAGCATCAGCGGCAGGTGCGGCTTTACCGTCTGCATCCACCTCCGCCGCCTCGCTGTCCTTTTTTTTGGCGGCAGCCGCTTCCTCCTCTGACTTGTGTGGCATATTGGCTCTCTTCGCAGAGCCGTCATCTGCGGGTTCCGCAGTGGTGGTGGCACCGTCGTCCATGTTGTTGTTGTTGTTGCCGCCATTGGATGCCGCCCGTCGCTGCTTGCGTATTGCCTTCTTCAGGTCCCAGCAAGTCTCCTTCGTGGTGGTGTGGTAGTAGTACGTCTTCCCCGTCCCCTCTTCCTTCATCTGCTTCCACACGCCGTTCTTGAGCAGCTGCTGCACTTCCTCCTCCACATCCTCGGCAGTGGCACTTTTCTTCTTCCTTCCTTCCTTTTCCTTGCTGCTCTTCTCCTTCTTGTCGGGGTCCCTGTCATCCTTCGTCATCTCCACTACTTCCATGCTGGTGGAGAGCGAACAACAACAACAACTGAATTGTACGCGTCTGGCCAAGATCAACAATGGGGGCGCAGAGAAGAAGTATCTCCCGCAAAGGCCTCAGCATCATGCCCATGTCAAGACACAACAACAGAAATAGCAATCGCATCAAACGACCGTCAAAAAAATGACACCACAGAGAAAAATAAGCATCGGCAACAGGTCAGGTAAACCCCATCTCCTGCTTCGGCTGACTTTTTTTTCCCCTTTGTTTTGCATATATTTATATGCGGACCCCGATCTGTGAGAAGCCAGTGGAACACCTTGAGAGCAAAAAGGCCAAAACGGCAGGCACCCCTTGGAGCCCACGGAAATAAAACAACTCAGCACCCAAACTCGGCGTACTGCAACGATACGAAGTGAAATGCGCCTAGCAGCAGAGAGAGCAGCCCAAACCCCCTTTTCACTTCACCATATAACGGGTGCTACACGGCCCTCTCCCTACTGCAACGGTGCGCCACCGTCGCCACACCCTGAAGGTGGATGCACTCCTGTGTCACCTAGCACACACACGAAATGGCCGGCACCACCCATCATCTATAACAATTGCCACCAACATTCTTGCTGCTGCTGCCACTATTACGGGAACAGTGTGGGCATGGGCCTCGCCACCCACCACAACACCGCCGCTCTGCGGGCGTCACGACGACGATGACCCGCCCAAATCTTCACCTAGCGCATGTGCCTTTCCGCTCTGGCAGAGACTTGCACGTACAGGCCGTCACACACACACACACACACACACACACACACACACCACATAGCAGCAAAAACAAAAAAAAGAGAAGCAAAGAGAAATGCGGGACACAACANCAAATCTTCACCTAGCGCATGTGCCTTTCCGCTCTGGCAGAGACTTGCACGTACAGGCCGTCACACACACACACACACACACACACACCACATAGCAGCAAAAACAAAAAAAAGAGAAGCAAAGAGAAATGCGGGACACAACACGCTCTCGCTGCAGCCAGACTCGGCGAAAGGACAACTTGCATCAGACAAAGCAGACCACAGTATAACCAGACACACACACACACACATATATATATAAATATAGTACGCACCTATGTGTATATATATATATAGAAATATATACGACACAGACAAAGTCAGGCGGACATAACTGCAGAACGCCCACAAAGACTTATATAAATATAAATATATAAATATAAATATAAATATATATAGATATATGTACACACACAAACAAACAAGCACAAAATAAAACAAACAAAAAAGAAAATAGATTCGGATGAATATTTGTATCAAAAGACGCATGCAAGCATCCCCTTTAAATCTCGCTGTGGGCGACTAAATCACTTTTTTTCTTTATGTATTCTTTTACAGTCTTCATTATTCAGTTTTCCTAGGGGAGCGTGCCTAATTGCACGTGTCGGCGCCCCGGGCATCCTCCCCACACACACACACACACACACA